AGCATCACTGAAATCAGCTACCGATATTGGCCAATAGTCCTCAGTGGGTAAATAAGCTTCTTTTCTTATGAAGACACTCAGGTTTATAGAAAGATTGCAAAATGGTAAAAAAAGTAGAAAGCGTAAGATGGGAAAGAGAAATATAGTTTAATAACAGTGTTCTAGTTTTTCATAAGGACATCTGAAGCTCCTTTAAAAAAACCCATTTTACAATATTGTAGAGTCAGTTCAGCTTGTAAAAGTGTCTTTTCTCTTTCTGTGACCAAATTATATACAAAACAATTATGCTGCAATGCTAGGAAAATATAGTCACTAATACTGCTATTGATTTTCAGCTCAATAAGTGAGTGCTTTGCAATTTTTTCTTTTATCCATGTCTTGTCTCCCATTGACTGGATAATGGGACAAGATCAACCTATGTCTGTATTTAACAGAAATTAGACAGCCAAAAGATTCCCAGCCTTTAGTCAGTACTCTATTGATAGATAACATACCTTTTGCATTCAGTTACAGTGCATTATAACCAATAAATATATTAATTAAATGACCATAATCACAGTTATCCTTAGTTTCCTAGTTTAGATCTCAGATGGAGATGTTCACCTAACTGTAGCTGAGGAAAGGTGTGATTGGTCCAGGCAGTAGGTGCAGGGAATGATTTCCTAAAGCGCTGGGCACCTGCAGCTCTCGTCAATATCAGCACCAAATCTCCTGAACATCAAATGGCTATTTCCAGACATACCCACCCTAGTTCTAATTCAAGCATTACTATTTTTTTCTCCAAGTTCTCCTTCTATGAGTTCTGACCTCTCCAGCCATAAACTCAACTCCATAGCAGAATTAGCACTCCAGTTTCCTCTAAACAGAGCAGCAGGAAAGCAAAACAAAGACTTCATATTGCCCACATAGTAAAGCAGTGCTACAGTATTACCCAACAACTAGAATCTGAAGTTTATTAATCATGTTCCTTTATAACCAATATACATTCTAATCTATCACTTTACATATTGGATAATGGATCAAATAAAATGCTTATATGTTTCACAACATGCAAGCACATACATACGTATATGTGTATGTATAACTATATTATACACACACACTTGCCCTTGTACAACTTTGCCACCTTTTGACCTAGTGCAGCTGACCAGCGATTGCCATTGTAAATATGCATATCTGCAAGTCCTGCATGAATCAGTTGAACTTGTGGCTCTTTGCTTTTAATAGTCTCTTAGCACCAACGTTACTCAGCATTATTCAGCATTGCGCAGTATAGTACATTGCAGCACCCTTGCAGAAGCTCACAGCTTCCCTCTGGTTGTCCTCAGTAATTTCATGATTGTTTAGGACCACGCTTGCAGTGAAAACACTTTCATCAACAATATAAACTGAGCCAATACAATCCAATTCCAGTAATCATCATAGCAATCCACAATTCCTAAGTCATAAAACTGGTGATTCTTAACTGCCCTGCAGATAAGCTATGCATATTGACAATTTTATCTCAACTGTTCTAGTTAGGAAGCTCAGTAACCCACAGGACCTTGCAGTGTAACCCGTATATGTTTTAATATAAAAGTCTGTACAGAAAATATTATTTTTAGACAAACGGAGAATAGAATTGGCTCTCTGTGCATTAATACTACTTTGAAGGTGACTTGACCCATCACATAAATGATGAGCATATAATAAGAAATGTATTCAGTCCAGACTGAAGATGAAAAACCTGTATATTTGAGGTGGGATAGAGCATCTTGCTGGCTCTGCTTCATGGCTAATAACTATTCTGTCAAAACAGATTTTAGATTTTTAGTGAAGCAGGGTTGGGATGGCGTGGGTAGGGGGGAACACAGGTAGCTTTTACTGAAAAGCATCTTTCCTATGAAGATTGTGCTTGGTTTGTAACAGTGTCTGGTGAAATACTTCACAATGCTTCCTGTTTCCCCTGTTCTTTTTGACTATTTCTTTCTACAAAAGTATAACACCTAAAAGCATTGTTCTCAAGGAGAAATTTAATTAGTAAATTACTCTTTCCTCCTGTGGCTTAGCCTGCAGTTACTGGTGCAACCAGGCTCTGTGTTGAAAAAGGTGGAAGTGCTGGAAGTGCTGAATGCATAATGCATAGAAATATTTTATTCTCCTCTATAGATTATGATTCACATTCTTGTTTGTAGAGCCCTGGAGTCAGGTAAGGCTCTAGGAGCTGAAATCACAGAATCTAGAACAGCAGGCTGATTTTTGGAGGCTAATTTCTTGTATTTTTTCTTTTTCTTGATTTTTTGGGGCAAGATTTTAAGACACTAATTTCCATATTGCTGTTCTAGAAATGTCAACAACAAGATTTAGCAAAAGTTAAATCTTACATAACTTACTCATCAGAAGGGTCAAGTTATTTCAGTAAGATTTAGTTTAGTATATAAAATTAGGAGGCTGGATTTTGGAAGCTGGTTATAGTGACAAATGGTCACAGTGTTAATACAGTATGCAACCAAACATTGAAATGCAGGCTTTCAGTTTTTCAAAAACAATCAGAAACCCTTTTGTTCTACTGTGATGCCTCGTAAAACTGGCATTTCAGAAATGTATGCGTCGTGTTCAGAAATGTGAGTCTCCTCTTCTGTGAAGAAATCAGAGGGGTTCTTTAAGAAGTATTATGTGTGAAGAACCGCCACACTAAGTGACTTTCTCCTCTCTAAGGGCCATCTCAAAAGGCAAAAGAAGTACATGTGACCACCACCCCTTTCATCCGTAGTGCCTCTGCAACCAGCCTGGTTGAAGCCCACTGGCTGCACACAGTTAGTCCCAGGGTAATGAGATGTATCTTCTCTGATGCAGTGCTAGATCTAATCATACTTCCTGGGAAGTCTGGCAAGAAAGAACAGTAATTTCCCACATGCCCTCCTTCAATTGGAAAAATGCTGCAGAGGTGTCTGATGTAGGTGGCAGGAAAATCTGTGTGCAGATCATTCTCTTTTTGTGTGTACCATGGGAAATGATCCAGACCATTGCCTTTATACTGTTAAGGGCTATCATGCTGTTGTATATAGGTCTTAGGCTGAACAAAGAACAATAAAAGTTGCATGGAAGTCAGTGGCGCAGGGCCAATTCCCATGATAATGTGCATACAGTTATGCTACTTTTTAGATATTAAACATATGGGGAAAATATAGCAGCACATTACTGATTATAAATCATCGTTATCCCTTTTCTAGATGAATTATGTTATAGCTGTACAAAGGGACACATTTTCACTGGGAAGTGTCACTGTATTCTTTTTCCAGTGAATTAAAATTAAGCCAAATCCGTTTCGTATGAAATCTTAACAAATTTGGAAAGTATTGAAAAGAGCTCTGTTTGTTTTCTGGTACACTACACATTATTTTCTTAGGACAATTTTTTTTCTGAGAGTTATGTTCTGCTATTTAGCATAATCATGTAGAATGAACTGACCTCTCCTTCCACAGCAAATTAGAAGTGATTTACAGTTTCTGATCAACTCTCCCACTGCCAAGGTCGAGCTAAACTCAAGGTTAAAAAATAGCACGAAGAGCTGTTAGTTTAGAATGAGCAACATGGATTGTGCTTCTCACTGGAGAAACAGAGCAGAGCGTTTTAGCCAGTAATTGCACCTCTGCTGCTGGCTGCTGGTGAACGAGGACCTTGTGAGGAGGAAAGCCTGCCACCTACCGTGTCACCAACCGCCTCTGCTGCAACACCCGCGCCGCCTGCCAAGTACCAATGCCACTTGTCTTTGCTCTGCCTGGGAGAACTGAAATTGAAGTGCATATGCTGGTAGATGTGCAGACATTTGTAACATCTTTGTTTAAAGGCGAATGAAAAAATAAAAACAGCAACAAAAGCAGGCTCAACTTTTCATCAAAGCTGAGTGTCAGGTATGAATCACTGCTTCTTCACTTTTGCTTCATAGTGTCTAATGTTAAAAATATCCAACAGTAAAAAGTAGTCTGACTCTCTATTTAAGCTCACAAGACATTACAATATGCCTGGGAAAAAAGGCAATGTTAAGAGTATGAGACTGACACCATTTTGAAGAGCTTGTGAGCGAGATTTTAAGTGGAGCTCTACAAAGAGTACTGTGTGGTATATGACTGTTTTGACAGATGTTTGGTTTCTGTGAAAACTTAAATGAGATTATAAGGAGATTTAGTCATTTTTTCTCATATGTGCATGTAAATAACTATTATTAAAAATTATTATTCATATATTTTATTAATGAAGCCCAATGAAAGTAAAGGAGAAACCATACAATTGTTAAAGCTTTTCACAAAATATTTTAATAAGGATATAACAGCTTCCACATCAGCAATTTTTAAACTAAAAGAGGCCAACTCACAGCCCATTGAAGTGAATAAGAATCTTTACTCTCATTGCAACGGGCTTTGAATCAGGCCGCCGTGAAATACTAAATTTATACATTCATTTAATAGTATCTAATTTTTGGTGAAAGAAATGTACAAAGTAGCTTCCTGCTTTTTCTGCTGAGAAAACTTACATGGTACAATTTAATGAGAATACATAGTAAGTCAACCACCCCAAATGCTACATGCCTTAATAATCAACAGCAGACTTAACACTGTTTGGACTTCTTAAGCACTGTAGCTACGAGCAGACAGTGCTACGGGTATGCTGCTACCATAGAATTTCCCCGGGCTCTTGTTTCAGATTGCCGGTAGTTATAATTAATATAATCACAGTATTGTGCTGGAGAAGTGATTTGTCACAGCTACCAGGACACCCGCCACTGTGTGACACCGTTAATATATGTGGTAGGGAACAAAAGGCGTAACTGCTTATTTCACCACAGTCTACACCAATCCTTATGTCTGGGATAAGGGGGAACAGGAATAGAAGGTTTTGTTTTAACAACTGTCATTCAGCAAATAAGAAGGCTTCATTTATCTGTAAGAAAAATGTTGTGTCTTAAATGGAAGAGGGAAAGAAAATTCAGGAGAGAGAATTTTTGTGAGGGGAGACAGTGTAGACAAAATATTTAGAAAGAGTTATAGCCTTTTTCTCTGAAAAAGAGCTTCCTTGAGCATCATCTATTTTAAATGCACTCTTGCAAGTAGCCACCACAGACGTAAGTACACAGTATAAATTGCTTCAGAGAAACACGTTCACGACACAGTGACAAGAATCAAATTTTAAAAAATCAAATAAAAGACATTGGCACACACTAAAAACAACAATTCTCAGAAACGAAACATTATGAAGCTCTGGGCCAGTATATTACATCGGCAACATATGAAACCCCCTTCAGTTGCTAGTGCAACAGAAGAAATTGGAGCTAGGGTAACAGCTATTATCAAACAACTACTTTAGGTATGTTTCTGTCAAGTATTTAATTTAAAGCCTGATGGAGATTTTGAAACTGGTCCCCCTTTTTCCATGTAGGCTAAAGTGATTTGACGGCTACCCAGGTCATTCAAAAACTCTGTCTCAGCTCCCTTTGGTGCTGTTTCACAGCTAACGGAGCAGGCACAGGACAATAGCTTCACAGTCCAGTGCTCCCTTTAAACTTTATTATTTGCACACCTTTATTGTATGTACCGACACATTCAAACATTTCCAGCTCAACCCTACCCGCCCCCTCAGCTCAATACTCTGCTCCCTGCGAGTCATGGGGCTGTTTATCTCCCCATTATCAGCAACCTGCTGTGCAGCTCCGAGGCATGGCAATAATCGGACTTCTTTTGCGAAGACCTTTTCTGCCCTGCTTCCCTGAGCGTAGGGCAGAGGGCTGGTCCCCAGCAAGGCAAAGGCTGTCTGTGAAGCAAAAGGCAGCTCCATGAATTTGCTGCTCCTTTTCTAGCGGATCTTTTCCTCCCCTCTTCCTTTTCTGCATGGGAAGGCGGAGAAGGCCACTTACTCCTTTCCAGGGCAGGAGGTGGTGTGTGTTGGAGGAGACTTTTCCCAGTGTTTCTACCCTCTGAAGGGAAGGCATGTGCCTGCAGATGCCAAGCAGTGCTGCTTGCAGTTGGGGGAGGCTGAGCTGGGCTGGTGGTGCTTGGCTGGCTGGTGCTTGGCTCCACACTGCCTCAGTGGCCCGGAGGGTCCCATCCGCTGAGGATGAGAGGCAGGGCCATGGGAAAGTTATACAAAAGGCAAGGGGAAAGTCACTGTGGGACCCACACAACCTCTGGTCAAACACAGCAAGGGGTGGCAGGGCCTGGCTGCCGGACTCCAAGCTGATCTATGGGGCGCAGCAATCAATTTACTGAGATGGTGTCAAAGCATCAGCACACGCACCGACCCTCAGGGAAGTTGAGCAGGGGGACAGGACAGTACATGGAGGACATAGGGTTTTCTTCGCTCCTTCTCACGCCAAACGCTGCCACTGATGGGCAGGACCGAAAACCCCTCCCTCCCAGCCACCCCATGCCATGATCCCAGCCTCACGTGCCCTCCTCCTGGGGGGCAGTGGTGGAGATGGGGGTCTGGGGCATTTCCTCAGAGGGTGGTAATCCTGGAGGTGCAAGTGCCATTCCTGTACATGCTCCCTGATTCCAAGTTGTCCGGGGGGAAGTCCTCCACGCTGTAAGCCCTGCTCTTGAGGGCAGTGGCATAGTAGTCGATGGGCTCCTCTGCAGCATTGTCCATCCAGCTGAGACAGAGCAGCCGCTGGAAGGATCGCTTGAAGTTGTCCGAGAGAAAGCCATAGAGGATGGGGTTGGCACAGCTGTTGGCGTAGCCCAAGATTACAGAGAGCTGACTGATAGTGGCATCATCCTGCTCTACGAAGACGTTGACCAGCTGCACAATGTAGAAGGGCATCCAGCAGATGACGAAGACCATCACCACCATCATGACCATGAGGGTGATCTTGCGCTCCGAGCGCTTGCGCTGCTGCCAACCAGCCTTCAAGGCCACCATGCGCATCTTGGCAATGATGAGAATGTAGCAGAGGCAGATGGCCACTACAGGCAGCAGAAAGCCCATCAGAAAGGTGTAGACCACAAAGACCACCAGCCACCTCTGGGTGGGCTCTGGCATGAGCATGTTGCAAGCTACTGTGCCATCGCTGTTGGCTGCAGTGTTGGAGAAGATAATGATGGGCAGGATGATGAGGATGGACAGCACCCAGACACCTAAGTTCACCATCTTGGCCACAGTGGGCCGGCGGTACCTAGCTGCCTTGATGGGGTGCACCACAGCAATGTAGCGGTCCACGCTGAGCACAGTCAGGCAATAGATGCTGGTGAACATGTTGATGGCATCCACGCTGAGCACCAGGCGGCAGAGCAGCGAGCCAAAGGGCCAGTGGTGCAGCAGGGTGGAGGTGACCAGGAAGGGGACACTAAGCATCAGTAGCTCATCCGCAATGGCCAAGTTGAGGATGTAGATGTTGGTGGCCGTCTTCATCTTGGCATAACGCAGGATCACGTAGATGACCATGGAGTTGCCACACAGCCCCACCAGGCACACCACTGAGTAGATGAATGAAATGAGGATGGCGCTGCCCTGAGACTCGCTCAGGGTGCTGTTTGGGGCGCCCGAGGAGTTCCTGCCGCCTGAGTCCATGCCCCCCGCCGCCGCCTCCTCCAAGGCGCCGCCGGCCCC